CTGTTCAGGTCTGAGAGCACACAGTGTGAACTGTGAAGACGGCATGGCTGTTCAGGTCTGAGAGCACACAGTGTGAACTGTGAAGACAGCATGGCTGTTCAGCTCAGGGGCTGCACACAGTGTGAGCTGTGAAGACAGCGTGGCTGCTCAGCTCTGGGGTTGCATACACCTTCTTTCTCATACTAGTTCTTCTTACTTTGCAGAGTTGGCTCTCCAGGAAAATAATCGTATTTCCAGAAGCTATAAAACTGTCATTAAAATACATGAGACATTCACAAGATTTATTACATTCACAAGACAAATAGCTTCTTAATAGAATAACTTTTTTCCAAGTTTTTCACATCAACAGATCTAAGTTTGATTAGAAACAAAAATAAGATGTAGTGTGTGTATGTGCGTTCCTGCCTCCCGTCATAACTAATACATCAAGTAACTGCATAAACAATGATTTAACAAATAAAGATCCATAGAGCAAAAAAAAAATCATGTAAGAAATATCTGTAAGAAAGCATCTCAACCATGTCCGAAATAAAGATCCACCGAATATTGACCTATACTAGCCATGGAAGAGGGACTTGCCTCTTTAGTGACACCCACCGCGGTTCCTTTCATCAGGTTATGAATGGGCTGGAGAAGGGTCTCTGTCACAGTGCTGTTGTATAAGCACTCAATGGCACATTCTTTCTGGTCACAGAGGATCCGCAGGACGTCAGTCACCATACTCGCAGGAGAATAATTCTCTGAGAAACAGAAAGGTAAAAGTCAAAACACTGCTTAGTACTGCTTTTCACTACACACAATTTCCTGTTCCACAAAGCTCACAGGGAATCCGGTTATTTAGAAATCACACAAGTAAAGCCTAGAAGATGAGAGTTAGAACCTGAAACTTACCATCTCGATCAGCTTACTATCTCTTCAGGCTAATAAAAGAAATGACAAGAAACAACATAACATTTTTCAGTTAGACACCAAATGAAACCTTGATACTGAAGACATGGCTGAAAGAAGACTCATCTTTTTGCCTCCTAGAACACAAGTTCATTATATTCACTTTTGTTCATTTTCTTGATGCACCTGGACATATGAGCTTAGAAGAAAATCAAATGAAGCGTTCAGATAAAACTATGACAAAAAAAGAAGACACACAAGAACTGGCACTTGAGCACCTGGCACAGTGCTATCCCAAAAGACAAGGAAAACTGAGGTGTTCCTAAGATCAACCTACCAAACATGAGCTCCAAAGCCAAAAGTGTGTGAAGTGTACCATGGTTGGAACGGCCACGGAAACAAATGCAATGCTTTAATATTAGCTACTTAATCTAACCTCCTCACAGGAATGTGATATGAGAGCCCTTAGAAAGAAACTGTACAAAACTAATATGGTTTTTAAATTCATGTTATAGTAGTCTTCACTCCTTAAGCATGCTAACTTCAAGTTTGTACCTGATCAAAGAAGAATGGATTTAGTGATTTTTCAATCAGATGAGAAATACCATTTCCAAACACTGTCAAAGAGCACTTGGCCATTCACACGATCAAGCCAATGCCTACTGAACAATGCACAGAGCATTGCAGTCTGAGAAAACAGACAGAGACAGTCGACTAAACAGTAAGCAAAATACTGAGTATTTTTAACACAGAAAGATCATTTTCATCATAAGTGATTCTGCAGAAGCATATAGCAGGGGTTTTAAGATAGTAAACCATTTGTGGAAATGCTGAAAAGACAGAAGAGGGTCTTAGAATCACTAAGAGCAATACACTATACAGCCACACAGAAAATGCCTACAGGCTGATACATATATTCTATGATTAATGCGTAGCCCAATCCACTTTGTTTTTACTTACTCCAGTTCCTCATAGAATTTGTTCTAGCATTTCTAAGCTAGTTCCTAATTTTAGAAGACTATGGTCTACATTTTTATTTCTGATGTTATATTTCACTTTGGGGATTTTTATTGATATACAAAGGAAAAGTAGAAGTTACTTTAAATGGTAATAATTTGAAACATTTTTACAAGCTGCTCAACATACATAAGAGCAATTTACAATAAAACAAGAAGGGCTTTTTTTTTCTTTACACTTAACAAAAGAAAATCCTGAAAATAACTGAAATTTAGATTTGAAGTGTATGACTGTACCCTAGTTCTTCCCTTGTTTTGTGTTTGAAAGAGGTCCATAGTTGAAAGACTCTGAATTTTAAAAGATTTGGGATTTTAAAAAACACTTATATTTTAAAGAAATTGAATTTTTTAATTTTTTAACTTTTTTATTTATTCTTTGTATCTTTCACATCATGCATCTCAATCCCATTCATTTCCAATTCCTTTGTATCTGCCCTATGCTCTTGCAACACCCCACACACACACACTCCATAAAGTTAAATAAAATAAAATTTAAGAGAAAAGAAAAGAAAAAGAAAGGAAGAAAGGAAAAATCTCATCATGGAAGTTGCAGTGTGACACAGTAAGTTATGCAGTAAACACCTTTATCCATATATCTTTATGTACAAGTGTTCATTGCAGAGTCATTGGTCTGGTTCAAGAACTCTGATGGACGTTGGGCTCTCACTTGGACTCCTCTTGGACATCCTGCTGTTGCCCTGTGTTGTGGAAATCCTGCAGCTTTGGGTCTGCAGGACCAGACCTTTCACGTGCTCCAGCAGATCGCAGATGGGGTGGATGTTGGGGTGGGCCAACTTATAACCCTGGTTCTGGGCCTAGATAGTTACAGGGTTGGTCAGCCCACCAACTCTCCCCTGTCTTCACCACCAGGGTGAGCTCTCCAGCATTGCCCTTACTATTTACCCCTTGCAGCGATGGGCAAGAGGTAGGGCCAGTTTTCCTGATTTCACGTCCTCGGGGTCAGCTCTCCCACACCTGCACCTTTAGGGTCAGCTCTACTGTGTTGCCCTGGCAAGGTGTGGGTGTCACTCTCCCAAGTCCTGCAGCTAATGAGGAAAATTTTAAGTGTTTGAATTTTGAAAGACTCTGGGACTTTTAAAATTTGGAATACTATATATTGTGATGTTCTTATTAATGTGAGATCTTGGGGATATATGAGAAAGGAAAGGCTATAGCTTAATAATGATGTGTTCGTATGTCAAGGAGACAAGGGGTAAGCTGTGCTGGCTGGCTTTGTGTCAACTTGGTACAAGCTAGAGTTACTTGAGAGGAGGGAGCCTCAATTGGGAAAATATCTCAAAAAGATCAGGCTATAGGCAGGACTGTAGAGCATTTTCTAATTTGACTGATGTGGGAAGGCCCAGCCCATAGTGGGTAGGGCCACCACTGGGCAGGTAGTCCTGGTTCTATAAACAAGCAGGCTGAGCAAGCCGTGGGGCGCAAGCCAGTAAGCAGCACCCCTCTGTGGCTTCTGCATCAGCTCCTGCCTCCATGTTTCTGGCCTGTTTGAGTTCCTGTCCTGACTTCCTTTGATGATGAACAGTGCTATGGAAGTGGAAGCCAAATAAACCCTTCCCTCCCCAAGTTACATTGGTCATGGCATTTCATCACCGAAATAGCAACCCTAACTAAGACAAAACAAAACAAGCAAGCTGAACAAAATTCCTTAGCACAGAAGGCAGAAAACAACAAAATGGGAACACATCTATCAATCAAATTTCTCTTGATGTCAATCGAGAATCTTGACACTAAGAAAACACTAAAACTCTCAGCAAAACTGACTCTAAATTAAAACAACAATAGATTAGAAATGTCTTAAGGCATCTATGAACAGAATTAAGTTCCATGGCTTACTTCAGAACCAATGTAAGGTTATACAATTAATAAAGTCTTAACAAAAACGTATTTACCAAAATCAATATGTAACTCAAAGCATCTAGACAAGAGAACACTCAAATGCCTTGATTATTTCTTTTTCTCCACTTAAAATAGATGCATCATGGGTTGAATTGCCAGTACTACAATTAATCAATCAACCAACCAGTTTAGGGAGGGGAGGCATTTACCTGAATACGCAACTGATGTCATCTTTGGACAACTTGGTGAATAGTAGATGAGTTGAGTAAACAAAACCAGCAGATTTGTGAGAGATACTGAATCTTTACAAAAGAAAAAAAAACAGAAGTAATATGTAACATGTTTACAACCTAAAACACATTTACCTACATTCCACTCACCTGTAAGATTGCATCACAGTTTCTATGTAAACCCAGTCACAAGAAAGCTATGATCCAAGACGTATTACTCCAGGACAGAATGCAGTTAAAAGACTCCAGGACAGAATGCAGTTAAAAGGAAGCTCCTACCCAACTGTCTTGCTATGCTAAGACACTGTTCTGCCATCTGTTTGGAGCTGATCATTTAAATCTACAACAGATGCACGAGTCTCACCATGGCTATTTGAGTTAATTCAATTATGACAAGTAAAATTCAGCTTAATATGTTGGTTCAGCTAACTTTTTAGCATAGTAGAATAAGGTCAGCATTTTTTCCATGAAAGACTATACAACTTAAGCTTTGAGCCCAAATCATCTCTATCATAAACACTCAAGTCAGCTACTGTAGCACCAGGTAGACATATACAATCAACAAATAAATAATGAGTGTAACTGTTTACCAATTAAACTATGAGTACTAAGCATTCATGTTTTCCACACACTGCAAAAATAGTCTAGTTTTTTAATAGTTAAAAAACATGCCTAGCTTACAAGTACATGGACCAGATGGCAGGCCAGGTTTGGCCCACAGGCTACAGTTTACCAAGACTTGCTATAGAAGCTTTCATTAAAACATTCTGGAAAAAAACTAAGTAATTTAAAGTTGATTGCTGGTCTCTGTTATTTTCAAACTCAGTTTTGAAATGAGCTGTGATTCTTGATAGTGCAAAATATAGTCACTATAAAGAACATAAAATGTTAAATTTATTATAGATGAGAGGCATGTAAAGTTAAGTTGAAAACCTACAAAAATATCAAGGACATTCACTAGTCTTTCCAGTTCTATAAAGGCCAGCAATATTGTAAGAAATAGTACCTCCTTAATTGAAGAGCTCATGATGTCCCCACACTGTCTTAAACTATATGACATAGCCTTGAACATTATAAGAGAAGCACATAATGCCCCGTCGGTTCTCAAGGAGCTCAAATAGATTAGGGCAAATAAAATAACTAGACAAGAGGGTTCACAACAAACAGACTCCATAACAGCATCAATAAACTACAGTTCGTATGATCAGATTTTGTAAGGCTGACAAGCTAAGAATGGATTTTCCATTATTAAAATGTATCAGGGGTCCTGAAAACCACGTTCAGATTTGATTGAGTTGGAAGACCCACAGGCCCCATATAATCATGCTCACATGACACATTATAATAAAACTATGCAAGTCAAAATCAAAAAGAAAGGTTACAGAAGACGAAATCCAGAGCAAACCAGGAATAAACTTGTGAGGGCCTCTCCCAGGGGAGTCATGCAGAATACATTCAATCCCTCCAGAAAAGCACACCAGAGATGCAGTTCCTAAGGTTCTTATTGGGGGTAGGTTGGGGGGTGAGCACATGCACACCCTCTGCACAGCACATGTCAAAATTTTAAACTCCCAAAAGCACACCCGGTATTCAGCATAAATGGCAATGCTGTACAAATGTTTAGGCCCAAGGGGTAGTGTACAAACAATTTAAGCTCCCTCATCAGTGCTGGGACTAGCATGAGTCCAGCCAAGAGTCAAGCTTGCAAACAGGCCACCCTAAGGACAGCAGCCTTGGTCATACTATGCTAACGTTCCTGCACAACCACAGACATACCATGTCATCCACCAAGGCCATAACCCTTACTGTCCCTTTTCAGAAGGTTTGCTGAACTCTGTTCTATATTGTCTTCCTAATGCAGATATATCATCTTAGGAGAATTCAAGATGATAACTGATCTCAATTTGTGAAATTCAATGAGACAGGGTAAAAACAATATAGTAATACATGATCTGATACTCTCCTGAACATCATCCTGTATGCTGGCTGTTTTGGGTCAACTTGACACAGGCCAGGAAATCATCTGAGAGGAAAGATATTCAACTAAGAAAATGCCTCCATAAGATCAGGCTGTAGGCAAGCCTGTAGGGCATTTTCTTAATCAGTGATAAATGCAGGAGGGCCCAGCCCATTGTGGGTGGTGCCATCCCTGGGCTGGTGGTCCTGGGTTCTATAAGAAATCAGGTTGAATAAGCTAGTAAGCAACAATCCTCCATAGCCTCTGTATCAGCTCCTGTCTCCAAGTTCCTGCTATGGTTTCCACAGTGAGAGACTTTAGAAGCTTTACAGTGAAATAAATCCTTTCCTCTCCAAGTTGCTTTTGGTCATGTTGTTTTTTAACAGCAATATAAAGCTAAACTAAGACAGAAATTCCCAAGTTGTCATATTCAATATCACAGCATAAAACTTAATGTAACTTTAAAAGTCCCACAGTCTTTAAAAATTCGAAAACTTCACAAGTTTAGTCTCTTTAAATACCCAGCCTTCCTAAAATATCTGTAGTCCCTTTATAATGTCCAAAATCTCTGTAAAATTCCTAAGCCTCTCTAAAATTTAAAAGTCTCTCAACTGTGGGCTCCTGTAAAATAAAAAATGTTACAGGCGTTCTTACTTCAAGAACGGAGACTCAGGACACAGTCACAATCAAACCAAAGCACAGCGAACCTTCAACGGTGTGAAAAGTTCAGCGTTTGCTGGGGGGGACCCATCACCCTCCTCTGACTCCAAAGGGCTCCGCTCAGCCAGCTCTGCCATTCACATCACCAATAGCTTGTCTTGCAGGCTGCGTGGCTCCATGGCACAGGAGCGGCAGCTGTCCTTGGCGGTGGTTCCACAACCCTAGTCCCTCCAAAAGAATGAAGTCCCTCCTGCAACTGGGCAATATCTTCATCAACAGCTTCTCCGAGGCTCCCTTTAGAGACTCCGCCCCTGCCACATGGTGATACTCCTCAAGTTCTCTCCATGACACTTCCAATCTTGGGGCTTCTACTCTAATTAGGACTGCACCTTCACCAACCGCTTCTCCTATACTCTCACCTGCCAAGCCTGGTTGCTCTCCATGACCCTGTCATGCCTTAGAAACCAGTAGTACCCAGTTGACTCTTGCTCGTTACCAAGTTCAGCTGCCAGCACGAGGTACAGCTTTGGCCACCTCTAGACCACAGCTTCTGTGTGCTGACCCTGAGGAAACACTTCTCCAGAAGAGTCTGCCTCAGTGATGCCGTTCTCTTCTTATCACAGCTGATTTTTTCAGTCCGAGCTGACCAGCAGAGCAAAGGCTTCTCTTTAATGATTCTTAATTCAAACTATCACTTGAACTGCCCCAGTAGAATCAACAAGCCAGGCCTCCGTTATCTGCATTGCTCTCAACATTGTTAACATCTAAATGCCCACAGAAGAGCCCACAGAGCTTTGAGCGGTCAATGGTTTTTTTTTTTTAAGCCCTAAATTCCAAAGTCATTCCACCAATCCTCCTCAAAGCAATATGGCCAGTCCTGTCACAGCAAAACTCCACGACCTAGTACCAATTTCTGGCTTAGTTCAATTTTCTGTTGCTGCGATAAAACACCATGACCAAAAGCAACTTAGGGAGGAAAGGGTTTATTTCACCGTAAAGCTTCTAAGTCCATCACTGAGGAAACCATGGCTGGGACTCAGGGCAACAATCTGGAGACAGGAGCTGATGCAGAGGCCATGGAGGATTGTTGCTTACTGGCTTGTTCAGCCTGCTTTCTTATAGAAGCCAGGACCACCAGCCCAGGAGTGGCCCTACCCAGAATGAGCTTGTCCCTCACACATCCATCACTAATTTTAAAAATGCCCTATAGGCTTGCCTACAGCCTGATTTTATGGAGGCATTTTCCCAGCTGAGCTTCCCTCCCCTCAGATGACTCTGTCTAATGTCAAGTTGACAAGAGAGACAAAAGAGAGGAGAGGAGGAGGAAGGGAGGGAGAAGAAGGGAAGAAGGGATGAAAGGAGGGAGAGAGAGAGAGAGAAAAAGACAGAAGGAGAGAGAGAGAAACCAGTGAGCACATCCACATCCTAGATCACAAAATTTCATCATCACTGATATAATGATTCCATTTTCACAAGCTGAAAACCAGAAACATAGGGTTTCCTATGGGTAAGTGGCTTCCCTAAAAGGTCACACTCTGTAGGCTAGCAAGAATTTTTAGAAGGTCTTCTATGTTTTATATCCAGAATTAAATCACCAAGTATGTCTAGTCTAGGGTTTTGAAAAGAGAAATAAGAAAATAATTAAATTCATATACAGTAATAAGCATATACTGAAACTGAAAAAAATACAGAACAAAATCTCAACAGTACATATGACTAAAAATTATGTAGCTAAATGCCTAGACAGGTGAGTTTCTTCTGTAGATTTAATACAGGCTAAAACCATCCGGGAGCTTCTACCAGACTGTCAATATGCAAGACATTGCATTTTATTGCTTGATGATTGATAGGGGAGGGCACAGCCCACTGTGGGTGGTGCCACCCCTGAGGCAAGCAGTCCTGAGATATATAAGAAAGAAGATAGAAAGAAGATTGGGCAAGTCATGGGATGCAAAGCCAGTAAGTAGCACTCCTCCACAGCCTCTGCTTCATGTTTCGGTGAAGAATTATCCAGGTTTCTGTACTGAATTCCTTCCCTGATTTCCCTTCATGGTGGACTATAAGTTATAAGATGAAATAAAGCCTCTCCCCCTCAAGTTGCTTTTGGTCATAGTATTTTATCACAGCAATGAAGAGCAAACTAATATAGTACCAAGTAGATACGGTGGTGGTTTGAATAAGTATGGCCTCACAGTCTCATAGATTTGAATGCTCAGTCACCAGGGAATGGTACTACTTGAGAAGGATTCGGAGGTGTAGCCTTGTCGGAATGGGTGTGGCCTTTGTCTGAGGAAGTGTGTCAACAGGGCTGGGCTTTGAGGTTTTAAAAGCCAGATCCAAGTCCAGTGTTTCTCTCTTCCTGCTGCCTTTCTATCTGGATGCTTCTGCAGCACAATGTCTGCCTGCATGCCACCAGGCTCCCCAATTAAATGCTTTCTTGTATAAGAGTTGCCGTGGTCATGGTATCTCTTCACTGCAATAGAACAGTGACTATGACAAATAACAAGCCCAATTTATAAATATGAACCGTGTACTGTAAATTGTATCATACCTTTACCTACTCATTTATCCTAATTACACTTACCTTTTCTATTCTTCAGCTTTATGGGAAATAATTTTCTGCCTTGTGTATAGATCAACAATCTTCCTAAAAGGCACAGTGAGTGAATGAAATAAATATATTGTAGTTCTTGTCCTGAGTAGTAGAAATTTTTTTGCTTGTTTCCTTAAAAGAGAAGCAAAAAAAGATCATTTATTTTAATAACATTATATTTCATAACACTTGTCTTCAACACCTCCTGACAATTATTTATATTGGAGAAATAGCTTTATAAACTTTTAATATTTATTTTCCTTAATATTTCCTATAACCTTTTACAGTAGATCTGAGGGGGAGTATTCATTATAAAATTGGTAACCACTGTTGCTGATGTTCAATCTCAAAATACCATCATACTGCCAAGAGTTATTCATCACCAAAGACAGACTTCAAAAATAAGAGTAGGGATACGTTAACACAAACTAGAAACCCTTAGGCAGAGAGTCTTAATGAGAAATATCTAGATCAGGCTGGCTTGTGGGGATGTCCTTGGGAAATCATTTGGATTGTTAATTGACATAAAAAGACCCTGGCCATTGTAGATGGTAGGATTCTCTAGGCCAGGGTTCAGAACAATATAAAAGAAAAAAGCTAACTGAGAGCAAGCAAGCATGGATTTATGTTTTTATTCTCTCTCTACTATTAACTGTGGATGTGATGTTTTAAGTTCCTGCCTTGAAGTCCCCCATAATAATGGACTGTGACCTGGACTTGTCAGCCAAATAAACTTCCTCCCATCTGCTGCTTTTTATCATAGCTACAAAAATAAAACTGGAGCAACCACATAAAAACCACATAAAAAGGCAACACAGACAAAGTCTATGGAAATGCTCCAATATTGAATAAACACCAAAATACAGTTGACATAGTTCTGGTCCCAAGCATTTTGAATAAAGGATATTCAGTTTGTACTACATACAGTAGGTCATATTGATTACAATCATGTTTGCAACTAAAATTAGAATCTCTAAAATAGAGATCATCCAACATATATTCTCCATTCATTTAGCCAACACGCATATATTTAAGACGTACTGAGTATCAATTTTAGAAGAATCTAATCTATTCACTGGTATTTAGAACTACTCAGAAGGGCTAGGGAGATAGCCAAGTCAATGAACTGCTTACCTTAAAAGAACAATTGAATCCCATCACCATAATACATTAAAAACAAACAATGAAAAGCATAGTGGCACACGCTTATAATCCCAACACAGGGACACTGAAGAGAGTATACTCCTGAGGCTCCTTGGCCTTTCAGCTTAGCCTATCCAGCAAGTTTCAGGCCAGTGAGAGGCCCTGTCTCAAGAAAGGCAGGTAGTCCCCAAGGAATGACATCTGAAGTTGAACTCTGGTCTCCAAATGCACATGCACCCTCACACACATGTACACCCACAGCAATGCACATAAACATGCATACATGTACACACATGTATATACTACACACACACACACACACACACACACACACACACACACACACACTAAGGATCATTAAACTTAGCTTTCCCTTCAGTGTTTGGTAACAGCATGGAATAATCAGAGCACTCAAAGACAAGAGAGCTATGAGGATAAAGTAATAGACCATGGAGGAACAAGCCACAGAAGGAATCTGAACTCTCTGATGGAGGCCATGGGGAAGCTATTAGAAGGATTTTAGGACAGATGCAATCAAGCATCAATTGTCACGAATGGACTTTGATGGCAGTACAGAAAGCTGATGAAACCAGGTCAAAGTCTGAAGAATGAAACTCCATTTCAAAACTATGAACTAGAGGCTAGAGAAACCACACAGTAGTTAAGGGTGCATATTAGTGTTACAAGTTCAGATCCCAACACCCATGTCAGGAGATCACAACTGCCTGTACCCCAGGTCCACAGGATCAGATGCCTTCTTCTGCCTCCACTTGTTAGTGCACTCATGTGCACAGACCCCCATAAAAACAAATAGAGATGCCATGCACAAAATTAAAAATAAAAACAAACTTTTCAAGAAGATATAAACAAAGGCATTAGCAAAATAAACAGGAAACAGACAAAAATACATGTTTAAGAAAAGTGAATCAATATGACTTGGTAAGAATTACACAACTACATCAAAAGAATGATAAAAGTTAAGAAAACTCAAGTTCCTAGCTTTGTGATGAATTTCCTCTTATAGTTTTAAGTAATTATAATAAAGAAAACAATAGAGAAGAAAGTAATTTGGGTCTTTGGTGTTACAGCTTCACAAGTGCCAATGTAACATCCCAGCGGTGACATTAAAAAGATACAAGTGTGACATTCAGGGAAACTATGCACACTTGAAGATTTCAGTTAACATTTGCATTACATAAAAATACATAATACCTAAAGCCATGAAAGTCAATGGGCTGTCCCAAAAGAACAGGCAGACTGGAGGTTGGGGGGCAGAGGGAGGGGGGCAGAAAAAGAAAAAAAAACAACAGGCAAAGTTTCTGAGAATGAATAAAGAAAAGAAAAGCTCAACTCAGGTCAACAGGAACAGCCTGTCAGATGAGGAGGGAGCAATCCAAGGAAGAGTGACTGTGTTATGAAAAGGGAGAAGAATCACAGAGGTTAGTCTGTGAAATGGGCCAGGGCAGGTAAGCGTAGACTCGGTAATGTGGAGGCCACATGGTTCTAAAGGAGGAAGCCTCATTTCTATGGATGAAAATGGACATGGCATGAAGAGCTGGAACTGAACTACACAGAACACTTCTGGAGAGTCCTTCGAGATTAGAAGACAAGCAGAGAGGTCGTCTACGCGTGCAACACAACACTGCCTCTGCTTTGGCTTGGGTTTTAATGAAAAATACACAGACGTGAAAGTGATGCAGAGAGAGAGGAACCAAAAGAAAGCCAGCATGGTGGCCCTGGGGTGTAGTTCAGGGGAGAGAAGTTGCCTACCATGGACAATGCCCTGAGTTTGAGTCTAAGCACCAGCAGAGGGTTGAGGGGCCACAACAGAGCACCTGCTGCTTCTATTTTTCAAAGCACACAGAGACTGTAACAGGATCAAGACGACCATCTCATGTACAACACTTGTCCTGGTTAGTTTTTTTTTTATCAGCTGGACACAAGTTAGAGGGCACTGAGAAGAGGGCATTGAAATTGAGAAAATGCCTCCCTGTAGGCAAGCCTGTGGAGCATTTCCCTGATTGACGTGGGAGGTCCCAGCCTATGGTGAGTGGTACCACCCCTGGGCAGGCAGTCCCGGAGTGTATAACAAAGGCTGAGTAAGCCACAAGCAGCAAGCCAAGGAGCAGCATTCTTCCACTGCTTCTGCTTCAGCCCCTGCTTCCAGGATCCTGTGGTGAGCTCATGCCCTGGCTTCCTTTGATGAAAAACTGGGATGTAGAACTGTAAACTGAAATAAACCCTTTCCTCCCCAAGTTGCTGATAGTCATGGTGTTTTATCACAGCAATTGAAATCCAACTAAACCACCTCTGTATGATAGGCTGGAGCAAAGGAATGCTGGTATAGGCATATTAACATGCATCTGTACACACAGAAGCAGGACATCTGGAGAGTTCACGTATGTAAGCTTCGCTTTCTTAGTGGGGACTCCTCTTTGAGACAGAAGTAGGCAAGAAGAAGGAAGAGAAGTTGATGGAACAGGCAAGGAGTAATAACTGCTAGGGGACATCAGAGAAAGAAACATCTGTATTCGTCACCTTCCTCATTACTGTGATATATCTAACAGAAGTAACTTCAGAGAGGCAGAATTTCTTGTAACTTACGGTTTGCTAGGGTGCAGTCTATCATGTCAGAGTAATTATAAAGGAGTCCATGAGGCTCCATGTGCCTAGGGCTCCTCACATCTCAATCAGAAAGTAAAAATTGCTCAGGCCAAAACCAGGACCAAGCTATAGCCCACAAGACCCTACCCCTGGCCACTTAGCCATCCAGTCAGGATGGTATTTCTTACAGGTTCCACAAACTAAAAATGGCACCAGCAGATGGGGACAAAGCCTTAAAACGCATGACTCTTGGGGGTACATTTTATATCCAAACCATAAAATTCACCACCTGACCCATAGAGGCTTTCTGCCATCTCAGAATGGAAAATGCATCCAATACTCAGTACACTTTAAAAAGCCTCCACAGACTTTAATAATTTCAGCATTGTTCAAAAGACCAAGGGCTCTTCAACTCAAAGAAAATTCTTTGGTTCAAATGTCTGTAAAACTAAAAGAAAAAAAAAAACACAACTGTGGTGGTACACACCTTTAATTGCAGGACTCAAGAGACTGAGACAGGCAGATCTCTGAGAGTTCAGTCCCAAAAAGAAAAAAGTTACAGCCAGGTGGTGGTGGCACACACCTTTAATCCCAGCACTCAAGGAGGCAGAGGTAGGAGGATTTCTGTGAGTTCGGAAGCCAGCCTGGTCTACAGAGTGAGTCCCAGGACAGCCACAGCTGTTACACAGAGAAACCCTGTCTCAAATAACCAAAAAAAAAAAAAAAAAAAAAAAAAAAAAAAAAAAAAAAAAAAAAAAGTTATAAACTTCTAATATATACTACACAAAGTAAACATCCCCTTTCCAAGCAGTAGAATATGACCACAGGAAGGAAATGCCTAACTAAACAAGAACAACACTCAGCGCGGCACAAGGACTGAATTTTGCATTGCAACTCCGTATCTGACATCCCAGCTCCTGGTGCTAACGTCAGTGCTCCAGTGGGCCTGGGTGGCCTCCCATGGCCTGCTGATTACATCACAAGTGGCCTTTCACTTGAGCTGGCTCCACTTGGCACTTAAAGCTTTCCTAGACATATGTCCCACATTCCTGGCATCTTCAACATGCTGCGCTCTCCCATGATACATGGCTTTACTTTTACTTCATAGATCAGCCTCTCAGGGCCACTTGGTGGCCCCTTCCCTACCATATACTGCATGGTCTCATCAGCTTTCTAGAACCTTACAGTACCCTTCCAAGATACCAAAACATTTGCAAGCCTTCAAGTCTGTCTAACCAGCGTCACACAGATATGCCAAGATACAAACTTCTACTGTCAACTCAGATGTAACTAGAACCCTCTGAACACTGCCTACCATGGCTATCTTGGCTATAATGCCTCGTAGCTAAACCTAGGGAAGCAGTTCACTAAGCAAGTCTATTGGAGTAAGATGTCATGGAGGTTCTATCTTTTCAAGCACTCACTTTTAGGCACTTGCTTCTCAAATAAATTTGCATTTCTACCCTCTAGAATTTTTAATGGGCAGTGTCTTGCCCTCTAGCAAACATTCATATAAATACAACATGTCAAGTTTCTCATTCATGACACTAGTCCCTAAAAATTACCATTTTGTTGCCTGTAGCTGCAGCGTCAACCCTCTCCATAAGCACATAGCTCCTTTCCTGAGCACACTGAACATTTTTCACATCCTTCTAGTCTATTTTCTGGTCTCTCACTCTAACGCTAGCCAAAAACAGTTAGCAATAACCACACATAGCCTGAACACCAAGCTGAGGTTTTCTTTGTTTAATAATATTTTACTGAGATTGACATAATCGCATCATTTCCCACTTCCCTTTCCTCCTCCCAAGCCTTCTCATGAACCACCCCCACATACATATTTATATTTTGTTTGTGTGAGTGTGTGTGTGTAAGATGAGCACAAGTGTTGGCACTGACATGCCATATCCATATCACTTGTGCGGAGGTCGGAAAACAACTCACAGGAGTGGGTTCTCTCCGTTCACCATGGGATCTGGGGATTGGATTCAGGTCACCATGGCTTGCATGAGAAGTAACTTTACCCCTCTGAGGGATCTCATCATCCCAAGAGTTAGTTATTTGAAAAAAATAAACGAGATGGGAAAACCCATAGCCAAACTAATCAAAAGACTGAAAAAAGCCAAATTAATAAAATCAAGGATTGAAAAGAAAATATCGTTATACAACAGATACTAAGAAAATTCAGAATATCATTATAAAACATATAAAATCTAAAAGAAACAAATTAATTTCAAGACAGACATAACCTGCCAAAATTAAACTAAAATGAGATAAACAATTTTAAGATGTATTTTTTTATATGTATGGGTGTTCTGCCTGCATATGTGTCTGATATCTGATGTTCTTGGATGCCAAAAGGGGGCATTAGATTTCCGAAAACTGGAATTACAAATAGTTGGGAGCCACCATGTGGGTACTAGGAATTGAACCAGGATCCTTTGAAGATCATCTAGTGCTCTTAACCTGACTAACTCATCTGCCTAGCCCCAAGATAAACAATTTAAAGAGATCTATAGCAAGCAGTGAGTTTGAAGCAGAGGAAAACAAAATCTCCCAGTTAAAACAAGTCCAGGCCCATATGAATTCACTGTTGGAACTTGCTGTGGGATGTTAATGTATGTCCTGTGGGAGCCCTTCTTGGGTTCCTTGTGGCGTTACCCAGCAAGCTTGCATAGAGGATGATTAGGACCATGGGCCTGAGTGCAGGTGTCTGAGATGGTCTGCACCTGGCTGTACTGGGGGATGGTCTGTATGTCAAGTTGCTCTGA